CATACAGTTAATAAAATTTTACAAGACCCTGAAAAAACATGAAACAGTTTTTCTTGCAGACCAGATTAAATTCTTTCTTTTCCTTATAATCAGTTTCAGATACATTTTTAATTCATTTTGTTGGAGGAATGAAAACAGCAGGTTTAAAAGAAAAAAAATTGACGCTTTAGATTCTGAGTTTTGACCGGAGCTGAGAAAAGGCTGTGACATAGTGAGAAGATGTAAAGTCTTTCTGGCAAACTCTGCAGCTCTGCAGAAGAGTTTATCAGCCTTGTAGGGTGCACTTGGACTCATAAGAACAGTTTTGGCTGTGCTTCAGGACCTTAATTCCTGACTGCCATGGTTCTTGCCTGTTCTCAGATCAGCACAATAGTGTTTATGCTGCAGAAGAGCCAAACTCAGCAATGCCCAGCTTTACGCTAGTCATTCTACTAGCAAACTAGCAATGAAAGCACCTTCTTCTGTTTGCAGTGTTTTAAAACAGATATGAGCCTCTATTGCTTAGGATCCATCGGGGCTAAAATTAGCTTAAAAGTTAGCAAGATATAATCTCTTTGATAATTTCATGTATTAGAGAAATCGCATTATGCAGCAGCCTCATTACCTAAGGCTACATGGGTTTATATTAGAATATTATTTGTTTATATTTACACTCAAATTTACCAAATATCAAACTTTCATAAAGTAATTTTTCTGACTCTGTTTTGTGCCCAAGACATTTTTGTGTGTCACGGGTAAAAACACTTCTACAACTTTTAAGTACTGTGAGCAAAACAAATACTTTGTCACCATTATTTAAACATTTTAGAATAAATTTAATACCTCTGGTTTGCAATAAACCCTTGATATTTGACAAGAAAACTCTTGGAACAATAAAGGAAAGCCCACATCTATGTGTAAACTAAGCAAAATGATTTTTAAATCCTGATATTCCCAAGTTTTCTTGGTACCAGATGTGCACCTATAACAAAGGAACTGAAATAAGAAGGAAGCTGTTAAAAAGTTTTCAGTGATTATGTTTATAGGATAAAACAGGAATTTATTTCATTCATCTAATCTGAACAACCAAAAGACCAACAGAGAGGTAATGAAGGGCTTTGCTTCTCTTCTGGAGGAAGGCAGTATAAAAAGTCTCTTTGGCTTCTTTTTCACTGAATAAGAATTTCTCTTGGAAAAAGTGAAGATTAGAGTCCCTGGCTGTGAGTAGTCTTTGCAGACAGCAGGGAGAGACCCAGAGAACATTTAAGACCATGACTTTACTAGTACACAAGATATGCCAAGCAAGAATCTTCAGAATGACCTGGCTAGGCAAAGCACTTTTATAATTCCTATTAAGTTATCCTCCAATACATAAGATATCTGAGTGCAAGTTGTCTAGTGAGAGTGGTCCATAGCCCATGTCAATCCTGAACCATGCCAAAAAAATCTTCTGAGAAAGTATGAAATCAAAAAGCATGTCATTAGCTGCTCTGGCAACTCATAAGATGAAGTTCCCGCATGCAGAAATATTCCTTGACATTATCATGTTTACTAGCAGAGTAGCAAAAAGATGTGGTTAAACTGTAGAATTTTACACCTTTCAGCAGGATTCATGTTTGTTTAGTTAGCTGTTATTTTCTAATGGTCTCAGAGAAGGATTAAGCATCTCAGGAGGACACATGATCAATATGCAGTGAGATATATGGCAGAAAAGAGTTTGCTTAAGTGTGTTACCAAAAAGAGCTAGGTTTGACAACAGTGTCAGTAATGTTGGCTTGAACCTCAGACTAGTCCAAGTTTCCTGCTCTGTATCTCATTTCTGAATCTGTATTTGATGCTACATAGGGTTAGTATAAAATCCAGGAATAATGCTGTGAGCACAGAAAAGGAGGCACATCATCCATCTAACAGGAATTTTCTTCCTTACAAAGTCATGCTTATTCTTGTATGGTCTTATTTTCTGGCAAATGTTGTTACCACATTTGCACAGCATTGCAGAAAGTGCAATTCAGTGGAAAGACAGCGATGTTTTTCTGCCTAGAAAAGGCCATTTTCTCACGGTTCAAATACTGTCACATAGAGCACGGGCAGGAACACAGAAACTGAGAAGGGAACTATATTGATTTGGAAGAACTTCAAAAGGAACTGGTAACTGCAGGTGTATTGTGTGAGGAGCAAGGTACTATTGGTGTGAGTTGAGATACGCTCTGAAAATTCAGCCTAACCCATGTTTGTGTTGGAAAGGGCCTAAAAAATCATCCAGCTCCAACCACCCTACCACAGGCAGGGTCACTTTCCACTAGAACAGGTTGTTCATAACCCCTCCAAGCTGACTGTGAACACTTCCAGGGATTAGGCTTGCACAGCTTCTTTGGGCAACCTGTGCAATTGCCTCATCACTCCCACAGAAAATAATTTCTTCCAAACAGCCAATCTAAACCTACCCTTTTTCAGTTTAGAGCCATTCCCCCTTGTCCTGTCACTACATGTGTTTGTAAAAAGTCCCTCTCCAGCTCTCTTGTAAGTCCCTTTAGGTACTGACCAAGTGCTAAAGGCTGCTCTAAGGTCCCCCAGAACCTTCTCTTCCCCAGGTTAAGCAGCCCCAGGTCTCTCAGCCTGTCCTCACAGGAGAGATGCTCCAGCCCTCTGATCATATTTGTGGCTTCCTCTGGACCCGCTTTATCAGGTCCATGCTGTTCTTGTGTTGGGGGCTCCAGAGCTGGACACAGCACTTCAAGTGGTGTGTCATGAGAGCAGAGTAGGAGGGTAGCATCAAATTCCACTTGTTTTATCTTTTTCCTCATGTATGCTTTCATCACACTTTGATACATTAACCTTTCACTACAGAAGAGAAGGAAACACATGAAGAGAATAGATTCTTTTTTCTGATGCTCAATTACCAGCCTTATAGATAAATTCACATGCTTTAAAACTTCCCTCCCCAAACAGGTCATCTGTAGGCATGGAGAAAGATAGGAAACAAAATAATATGCTCCACTTACATATTCTATTTTCTGTGTAGCTTTATAATGTGCAAATTATTCAAGAGAAATAGTTTCTTGGATCAAACTGAGCTGAAAAAAACATTAGTGATTGCCTAAAGCAACATAAATAAAAGAACAAAGTTATGGTTTTTATTCAGTGTTTGACTTTTGTTCTTGTTTTCTTTTCCATTGCTGAACCACACTTCTCAACAAAAAAAGACCCTGGGTGTTTGCAAATCTTACATAATTTCACTTGGAGACTGTAAGCTTTAGTTCTCCAAAATCAATGCCAAATACAGTCAAAAACACAAAGAGAAAGATCCAGCACCAAGTAGCACTGGAATGTTTCCAATTTTTAATTTTGCTGTAAAGGAAATACAAACTTCAGCATATAGCCATAAAGTCTTTACCCTTGTAAATAAGTCCTCAAGACAATCCATACAAGACTTCAATAAGTAAGAAGTAAAATGAAATTCACATGAAAAGGTAGTACTAATAAGAACAGAGCAAGCTTTTAAAAGAAGGGTCTTCTCAGCTGAGGTCTTTACAAAACCTGTACACATACATCACCTGTAGCACTCATGAAACTGAGGGATTTACAATAATTTACAGGTCACACATCTGAAAATATGGTAGTGATTATCTGTCACAACTTGCCAAGCAACAAACAGACCACCTTATCAACTTTGATTTCCATTTTCATCAGCGTAACCTTGAGCATGCCCTAGACCTGTATAAACAGACATTCTATTAAGTATTATAATTCTTATTTAAATGAAGTGAAAAAGTAATAATTCCACATATTGCAAAGCAGTTAGTGATCTCATTGTCCCCGTGTGTTGTATGCATATTTGTTTATCAGCATGAAGCAGCTTCTTATCTCTTTTCAAAACCCAAGGCAAACAAAGTAAACATTTAATTAGAAACATCAGTTCCTAAACTTATTGACATTTTTGACTTACAGTGAACTCCCAGCTCATTGACAAACACCCAAACAATACAACTTTCTCTACAATTGTATCTACTGGTGTGGGAGAAGTCATTATTAATATCACTGATGCCTGTTCTACACAAGCTCCTTTATTCCAATATCATTTGAGGAAACATTAAACAGACATGGGTTGATGGTTTAAACAGATAAAACTTGGCACTAGTTTTTAATACCCTGAATATATATGCAAATGGATGATGATGACTTTAATGGAAATTTTGCCTACACAAACATTGCCCTCTAATGGGAGAGGAGGAACAAGAGCTACTCAGAATTTATATCTGGATCCCATGAGTCATAACCATTTTAAAGGAATGGGTCTTATTGTGCTTCTATGTAGTACTTTGATTAACCTTCCATCGCTCCATGGAGTTTGAGGCTTCAGGGATCTTCATCCAGACTGATTTCCTGGGTAACACAGACCATTTATTTTCACCCAGCAACCCTTTAATTAGTACCAAAAAAAAAAAAAAAATCCCAAATGTTTTATGTTAAAGCATTTCACTTCATAGAGGCTGAGACTGTTGCATAGCACTGCAATGAAGCAGGGAAGCTCAGTATCACTTCAGGGCCCCAGAGTAGCAGAGAACAAAATAGATATACACTTCAATAATCCTGCAGGATACTCTCTGCTTTGGGTTGCCAAGGAGGAAAAAAAGAAGGAACTCTGCAGCCCTGTGAATATGAGTGGCAAAAATACTTCTTTCCACTTCAAGTCCTGACAGTTGTTCAATCTGTATTTTTCTTAACACAAATGATTGTTTTATTCCCCAGCCAAGTGACATGGTTGGCCTTAGGGCACTGCCTTACACTGTCTTGGTCACCTCTGAGGTAAGAGTGAGCAAAACAAAACAAAAATAAATTTAAAAAAACAAAACAAAAACAGCAAAAAACATCCCTCCTAAACAACTAAAATACCACACAAAAGCAAACACAAAAATCCCCCAATCTCAACATATAAAAAAATCCACCAAAAAAAAAAAAAAAAAAAAAAAAAAAGGAAAGAAAGAAAGAAAGAAAGAAAGAAAACTAAAACACACAAACAAGCAAAAAAACTTCCTTGATTTTGCCTAGAGGAAAATTTTCCTCTGACTCCTGGAGAAAATATTTGAAGTGGCATTCTCTAACACCATGTGTCCTAATTCTGAGTTACCCTTCTTTGGGCAGTACCCTTCTTAGGTGAAGTAAAGTTTTTTTCTTTCTTTTATTTCCCCCTTTTTTTATTCTCCAAGCTAATTTATATTTCTCTGAACTATGGTGAGTCCAGCACCTCCCCAATGTTTAATTATCTGCACAGCAAGTAAAAGTCTTCTTACCTTAAGGCTAATGTTTTCTAACATTAACCACCAGTCACTGAATCCTGTTCTGACTTTTTCTAAGAATGTTATAAAGTTTCCACCCATCAGATTCACTTATGTGTGAAATGATCTTTCAGGCTGCTTTTCAACAAGCTCGAAGGGTTGAGCACTATGAGTCTCACATTGTTTTGCAATTCATAGATCACTTTGAGTGCCTTCCTTCAAGCTGTCTCAATACACCCTCCTTGAATTACAGAGGCAGATGCAATGGATTATCATTTCAGCCTGCACAGCAGTGCAGCTAAAGGCAAGCTCATGACCCTATAGCTACTCTTTACCTACACAAGGATCACATTACTTCTTCTTGCCCCCAGCATTACACTGTGGAAGACACGAGGAGCTGGATATTCTGGGTATCTTGAAGCCTTATTTTCCAAGATTTACATTCTTCCCCAGCAGACTGTCTTCATTTCTTACCTAGACTAACTTATTTTTCAGCATTTAAGTGCCTTTTTTGGGGCATCTGAACACTTACCCTAGTATTTCTATTTCTGCATGAGAATACGCAGTTCTCATTGCTTATTTTTCCATCAATAGTTATGTCATGGCTGGACTTGCCTGGTAAATTACTTCATGATCATAAAGAAAATGTTACATAAATAAATACTAAAATGATAGACCAAGGGTAAACTTCTGTTATTTACAAAAAATAAAAAGTAAATTAAAAGATTTACAGTAGACAAGGCTTTAATTAGTCTGATAGGACTCCTGTTATTTTTAAATATTAAATATTAAATTTAACAAATTTATTAATTAAATTAATTTATTAATTGTTATTAAAAGTTATAATTATTTTTACATTGGTTACCACACTATACCACACAATATAAATAATCAATATAAATAAGTGTAATGCATCCAAAAGCAGTTCTTACTATAGGGTTATAACAATATTTTTAAGCATTAAATTTCTTTACTAAGTTCTAAGTCTACAAAGTCTACTAACTTCTAAGACAGCCAGTGTGCATGAAATATTGAGATGTTGTCTGATTGAGCAGGGGTGGGAAACAAGAAAGGTATGGACATGATAGGCTAAATACACCTCAGAGTCATGAAGATGATTGAATGATTGAAGCATCTGACATATAGGGAGAGGCTTAGAGATCTGGAATGTTGAGAGGGACCCCAGAGGAATCTGGGAACTCAGGAGAGATCTTACCATTGTTCATAAATACCTGATGAGAAGGAGCAAAAACTCTCCTCAATAATTTCCACTGGCAGAAAGAAAGGCAATGGGCAGAAATTGAAACACCTGAGAATACACCTGGGCACAGCAAAACTCTGTTTTACTGCAGGGATGGTCAAACAGCTGAACAGATTGGCCAAGGAAGGTGCAGAGTCTCGATTCTTAAACCCAACTGGATATGGTCCTGGATAATCTGCTTTGACCCTGCTTGAGCTTGGAGTGCATTATCTTCAGCAGACCTTTCCAACCTCAATTGTTCTGTGCTTCTGTGCTTCCATAAATATGTCATACCACTTTAGTAGTCTTTAGTCTATCAGTCTCTAATATTTCCGTGAATCTTCCTCTTTTTAGCCAATAAGAGCAATTATATATAGCTTATTTAATCTATTTTCAGGGAAGATGACAGATTGACTGACTGAATACTGCCAGCAGCAGGTGTTAACATCCATAGCTCTGAGGTGATGGAAAGCATATTTTCTTAAAAATCCACAAATTTCTTGGTATTAAAAAAAAAAAAAAAAAAAAAAAAAAAAAAGCCACTGATAAAAGCTAGTTTGGAAAGACTAGAGGGAGGACTCTGTCAAGAAACAACCCAATAAGTAGGAGTCAAGTTGCTCAGCATATCTGAATTTCTCCATGTTTATAACTTACCTTATACCAGAGTTAATTCACTTTTAAAGCACTGGCTTCAAGCTTGGAACGTTGCAGTGTCATTTGACAACATTCACTCTGAAGTTCAGCTCTGATCTCAGTGCATCAAGACACCTTCACCTGCAGCTGTAGTAGAGTGATTTCAAGATGAGTGGTAAACACTAAAGCATTCAACTTCTATGCATTTCTATTTTTAAGACTGGACTAGAAGTTCGTTCATACAATACTCAGCATCTCAGTGTCCTCAACTGAACTGCAAACAGGAGACTCTCCCACTAACTTTTAAGATAACGTTGTGTGTAAGTATATGTGTGTGTATATTGCATGCCCAGGCTGCAGCAGCAGCAGAGGGTGCAGGGGAGCTCTGTGAGGGGAGGCCAGGACTGCCTTGAGCCAGAGATTCCAGCCCATTCCAGCCAGCTCCAACCAACCCACTACAGGACACAGCTAAGCCCCATGGATGGGGTGGGAGTGCTTCTGGCAAAGTGTATGTAAGAAAGGGCAAAAATGATACAGAGGTAGTGAGGATTGAAGGGGAAAAGTCAGAGAAACAGCCCTGTGGGATGGGGGACAGGAGGAAAAAGAGAGAAGAAGCAGATATTCCCAAAGGGACTTCAGCCACGGAAGACCTCCAGGGCAGCACAGATTTATCATAAACACCCAAACTTCCTTAGTTCGTTCTGCAATTATTGCCAGCAAAAGTATTTCAAAAGGCTTTGTCACCAGAAAAAAAAAAAAAAAAACAACAAAAGCAAACACAAAAAAAAAAAAGGTTGAGAAGTATGAAGTGGCAAAAAAAGCCCTAAAATATCCAGACTACAGACCATCCTGCAAGCCCTATTCTGTCATGGGAGGAACAGAGGGTGCCTGCTGCAAGAACAAGGGGGAGAAGAGAAGGTGTCTTTTGAACCTGGGGAAGGAGGAGTTGTGTGCTTTCTCTCACTGCTTTAATGTTCGCTTTTTTGTCTTGTTGCTAATTTTCAATACCCAAATCAATAATTAAGTATTCATATCAATTGGCAACAAACAAAATTAATTTTCCCAAGTCAAGGCTGGTTGGGTTTTTTTTCCCACAAGAGTTTGCCGGTGTAAATTATGTCCCTGTCACTATCTCAGCCCATGGATTTTCTCACTCTTCTTTTACCCATTTGCTCCTCTGCCCCATTGTGGGGGAGAGGAGGGGAGTGGCTGGACAGGGCCTCGGCTGTCAGTGGAGGCCAGACTGCCACAGACCAGAACCTCCTGAGATCCTTAAAACATCAGATCTCCCAAGTGTGCTACAAAGGCACTTGGTCAGTGACTTGACTGTTTGTTCACTACATTTTGTTGGGAAAAGTATCAGTAATACTATTAGGAGATGCTCCTATTTTATGCAGAGCTATTTTTAGTTTCTGTCTCAGTATAGGAAATCTGTGCTAAAGAGTGTATAAAAACTACAGCTGGTGTTGCCTTTTGACAGTGTAGTGTATGTTAGCACACACAACCAACTGGAGAGATCTGGCATGGTAGATATCTAGCTAATCCTGATGAACAGAAGCAGTAGAGAGGAGTTCAATGAAGCTTCTCTAATTACACCTTAATTTATGTATATATCTTTTCTATAAATATTGGCCCCTTTTCTTCCCACAATACCATTCTAAGGATCAGCATTCTACTTTTAACCAATCAAATAATCATGGTCCATAAAGGGCAGGAAACCAGGAGCAAGAGATCTGCTGTTTGTCACTTAGCATTGTAGTGCTTAGAATTTAAGGAGTGGGGCTGGATGGCTTGCAGGCAAAGCCTTGCTCTCAACCATGGCCTTTGCATCATCTCCCTGAACTGCACGCATGGGTTAAGCTCAGAAGCTCTTGGAGATTGCCTGTGGGTCTGGGCTTAAAGCTGACCTTTTGTTTGAGTGCAAAAATTAGTGTGCATTGCAGCCTTGGTAATGCTCAAGAACTTTTTTTATTGAAGTACTGTGAATGGAAAAGTTAGCCTTCTTTGTTTTGCAGTTCATTTTCAGGGAAGTCACTGTTGTTATTGTTTGTCACTTGTATTTCATTGGCTTTCAGAAGAAGTACAATACACTGGTCCTCAAGTTTACACAGTATTCCTAAGAGATAGAAATATTGCTGAAAAACAATGAGGACTCAAAGGTCCCAAGACCTACTGTCTTCAAAAATGTTAAGATTCCTTCCACAGAAATAACTCTTTTAAGGGTTATTGACAGCCGCTGATTCCGAAATACATTCAATAAAACAGCTAGTCAACTCAAAAAAGTGGCAGTAACAAATAATGAACATCCATTTGGAATGAGAACATCTAGTCATCCTAAGATGTGCATGGTTAAAAACTACAGCACTTAAGGCCAAGTTCCTATTGTCTTCTGAATATTTTATCATAAACATCCAAACTTACTCAGCTTTTTCTCTAATTAATGTCAACAAAAGTATTTCACAGGGCTTTGTCACAAGGTAAAAACACAAAAGCAGTTAAGTGCATGAAGACGGTAATATATAACTGAAATAATGACTATAAACAAAAAGAGAATAAATAATTTATAACCAGACCTGTCCAACTGTCTTAGTAAAGCTAAAAAGACAGGCATATGTTTATCCAAAAGACTCCTATTAAAAAAATACATTCATACATTCTACCACAAAAATAACACTAAATCTCAGATGTTGCTTACAGCAGACACAATAAACCATGATAGGTCATCATATATTTAAAAGCATTGTGGAAATACTGTGTTGTTCTGTATTGCAGCTAGGAGGTATAGTGACTTGGTTTGCCTCTTTAATTTGATGCTGTGGGATAAATGAATCTAAATAAATAATTTGTTTCAACAGACTCTGCCTGCAAGTGCCAAACAGCATGCACATGTTTGTTCTGTTCAGGCTAAGAAGATTGTGAGGACTTGCACATTTTTCAATATGCCTATCTGTGTAAAACCAGTATATACAAAATAAGTAATGCCAATACCACTGTTCTTGCCTAAATTTGATTAAAAGATTAAAAAGGAGATGAGCTGTGGTAAAATTAAGCTCACAGATAATCCACAACACATACTGCATCTGTGTACTAACATACTCTCCTTCTCATTTGAGTAAATTAGCGCTCATTTAGTGATATGTTGTGCTGCCAAACCACTTCCAAGCAGTTTGTTTTATCTCTACTTAATCTCACAATTTAGACATCCCATAAAAATTACACATGAGTTCAGACTTTGAAACCACTGAACTAGGAAAGGAACTTTAAGAGCCTGCTCTTGTGGCAGAGAGAATTCATCTCTATTATTAATTTAGCTGGGAATGAACAAACACAAGGGGCCAAATAGGAAAAAAAATCGGGGCAAGGAGGCACTCTATGAGCTTATAATAGAAAAAGAGGGCACATTTAAGAAAAGGCACTCCAGAAACATGGAATCCATATTCCAAAGATTATTTCTAAGGGTTGAGTATAACTAGCAATACATATGCGTGGTTTACTTCTTTTGTACAGACCTACACACCATTTATACAATCAAATTAAAGAGCAGTTGTCCTATAAACCTTTTGGCAGTCCTTCTGTTTTGCTGCTGTACTACAAATTGACCATGAAAAGGTTTGTTTGATGACAGACACCCACAGAGCAGCCAAGGTAGGCACCAGCACCAGGCAAGAGGGCGAGCAGGATCACAAACTAGAGTGCTGAGAGGACCAGATTTGGAGCCTACAGTGCATGACAGTGAGACCAAAGAAAGGTAAACTTGTGGAACCCACTGGTACCACAGGAATTGTAACAGTCCCCCACAGAGAGAATCACAGCAGATATGAACATGCTGGAAATTTGAGGCTTGCAACTTTTAAAAAATCTGCCTGGTTGTTTAAGGGTAAACTGCAGGGACAAGAATGCCTAGCATACATTTGTGTATACAAATTTGTGTATACACAAATACACAGGAACAAATATATTTCTGAAATTAAACCCTCGGGAAAATCTGTGATCTGTGGGAGTACCTGGCAATCCCATGATTTTGGTACAACGGCATGAAATACTGAGGAGCATGAAACAGCATTTAGCTGTGATATTGGTTCACAGTCCTAGAAGAGAGGAAAACTCTGGGCTGAGAGTTAAGCTTGCCATGACTCATTGAAATAAGAATAGAAAATGGCTCAAAAGTCATCCTCATACCTGTATTATCTTCCTTCAAATATTCTTTAAAGGTTTTCTTTGCCACAATGGCTACAAGAACCTAGAGCACATGACACCTATTGATGTTCAGGGTTAGCTGGGATTCTCTCACAATCTTCTACACTCTCAGGTTTTCCTGTCTCTCTGCTGACTCCAAATTTTCAATTCTGCACGTTAAGGTCTTCTGTTCTGTGCCCTCTTCGTACAGAATATAGTGTCCATTTCATGCATTTGATTCCTCTATATTGCAGTAAGAATGTACTACAGCAGAAAGCCAGCTTTTCTATATAACATGGCATATTGCAAAGATTTTCTTCGTTCAAGAGATTCACAGAAGGTAGACATTGTTATGGGGGTTTTGTTAAAATAGGACTGTATTTTCCATACCTCTACAAATCTCCAAATTTACATTTGATACTGTTACAAGTTCTGTTTTACTAACACCTGCTTTTTCTGTGTTCGATTTATGTAGCAGGTTTATGTGGTAAATTTTACTGTATTTTTTTACTAGAGTCCAAACCCTTTTAAAACAATTGAGATTAAACTAGGCTTCTTGTTGGTTTATTTTGTCTCTTTTATATAGCTCCAGGGGATATTCTCCATCAAGCAATTGACATAGATGCAGAGTATCTACCAATCAATTTAAAAATTAAAATTATTATTCCCCTAACTATACCAATAGAAATATTGCATAATCCAAAAAAATGCATAATCCAACAAAGAGCAGAGGAATTAGGTTGTTTTGTTTTTTTTGTTTTTTTTTTTTAAAGCAAGGGTTCTGTTCATTGAACAAATATTATATCTGAATGGAGCCTTGAAAGAACTTTCATATGCTTTCTTTAATTTCATTTTAGACATGTTTAGTGAAGAGAAGAATTCAAATAATTTTAACTATCCTTTAGGAATAAAAAGTCTGAATCTAACTGATAGTAAACTCCATTAAACTTCTAATACCTTTTCAATGTGTTATTAGCTAAGCAAACAAAAGGCTCAAAAGGAAAAAAAAAGAAGTAAAAAAGCTGGTTTTATTTTTACCACATTTATGTAAAATCACTACTTGTAAATCAAGGCTTTTTTTTACTGTTGGATATTCTTTTAATTTGTCCTTCAGACAGGAAAATATAATTCATTGCAGACACTTGTTTCTACACCTGTGGTATAAATACATGTCTTGATTGTTGGCACTTTACTCTATGGAACTCTTCTACCCTAGCAACAAGAAGACACAAAGGTGGTGGTGTATTGTTCTGTAAAATAGTGTCATGCATTTGTCCCTGTCATTGAACGCATTGTTTACAAACACAGAATATCTGAGGTTGGAAGAAGCTTTACATAATGAAGCCTGAACTTAATTGGTGGGCACCAGGAACACAAGCTATTTTCAATAGAAACCAGTGTGAGGAAAATCAAATATTGGTCAAGTGTTAAAAATATACCCTTAAAAACAGAGTAAACTAACATAATTCCATTTTTTTTTGTAATTTCCTTATGTGCCCTTGAGTGGAAGATTATTGCTTTCTGCTTTAAAAGTAAATACTGTGGTGATTTTCTTGAGCCAATAGCCTGTGAACAGCTTTTCAGTGGAGGAGAGAATGAAGTGGATGGAGGACCACTGCTCCTTTTCCCTTACAGAGAGCAAAGCCCTTCTGCTTTGCAAATAACATCTTGAATAACATCAGCCGTGGTTAGGTTTATGTGAGTGGGATGACACACATCACTCTAAGGAAATGAAAGGGAACATCAGCAGGCAGCCTAAATGGCAATGTATTTACTTCTACACTATTCATATATTCATAAATTCACACCAGCTGAGGATCTGGCTCCTGAAGCTCCCTTTCAGTCCAAGAAAGCAAAGTGCCTCATCACAGAGCAACAAACTGCTCACAGTTGGTGCCATTCAAGGTGCAGTTTGCAAAAGCAGAAGTACTTTGGAAATGCTGGAAAAATGAAAGGATGGTGGTTTCATATCCAGTCCACTGAAATACTCTGTTCCCAGATTCAGTGGAATGAGCAGAACAATATAGTATTTACTGTTAGTTTATAAGCCTCTGAGAAAGCAAAACCCTGAATAATTATGTTTGAAAATTAATAATTCTTCTGTTAACATGTATATCATATCATGAATATCATAGAGAGCAGTTTGTGGACATGAGATTTTCTCATTTTCATAATTCAAAAACTCCCTTTCTCAAGCAGGCAAGCCACCCAGTCAAGAAAACATACAAACCTGAAGGAGGCAGACCTCATTAAGATGGATGTTGTTTAACAGTGCAGAAAATATGCTTTGTTACAGAAAAAAATAATTCTCTAGTAAATTATATGAAAAGTGAAGTAACGGTATTGGATTTTTACTTCTTTATAAGGAATTGATTTAATTTACAAGGTAGGTCCACAAAATGCTTACAGAAGGAACATTGATCAATTATATTCTGCTCAAATTGTCAGTGTATTGTTTGTTCAGGATGAGTTAATTACTTTTGCCTCATTTTCTGTGCATTCTAACATCATCATTCTAGAAAGGATATTTTGACACAGGTTAGATTTTGGAGAGATGGCATTGAGCAGGAGGTCACTAATTAGTAATAGTGCCTAACAGCAGTTTTGCTGGCTCAAGGAGAAGCTTTTTTAATAACAGCCTAACTTTATACTACCTCTGCATGGCACATTCATGTGGAAGAGAAAAAGAAGCAGAATAGAGAAGTCTAGCTGAGGTAATCGACATCTCAGCAATATTTTCCCTTTGCAGCAGGCCAGTGCAGAGGCAGTTAGGGAAGAGCTGCAGAATGTGCTGCTGTGACCTGTGCCAGCAAATATTTCTGAACAGCAGAAATGCCGAGAACCACCGAGGTGGTTGACACAGTGCTTGTAGCAGTTTGCAGTGGACCAGTGTTCCGTGCCACTGAAAAACTTGCATTTGTCTGCATCTCCTCACATTCTAGCCCTTCCTTATATAAGGATTTGCACTTGATCTAATCAGTTACTTGGCAAATACTCTCATCATTTATGCTTTTTTTTTTTTTTTTTTTTTTTTTTTTTTTTTTGGGAAAAAAAAAAAAAAAGAAAATAAGGAAAAAAAGTAAATGTATAAAGGATGCAGAGAGAGACCAAGGCAGAGAGCTCATAAAAGCAACTGAAAGTGACAGAGGACAGTATGCTAAGGTCGGCATTCATTTAATTAGAGAACTTAGTTGTGCATCTTTCTTGGCAGAGATCTTCCCTCTATTCCTGCAAAAGCTCTGCAAGCAGGAGAAATTTTCACCCATAGTGAACATGACAGAGCTTAAAACATCCACCTGTTCAACCTGTCCATATTTAATTTTTTTTTTATTTTTACTTTTTTTTAAGGTAAATTTACACCCAGGTTAGCAAACTCCTTTTCTAAATCACCACCTCTGAAATGAGGGGCTGAGAGGATGACAAGAGGAGTAAAATTTTCCCCAAAATGGGGCGACTCATAACTAGTCTGTTAGAAACAGCACAAGTAACAATTTTACTGCATAACTTTCTCTGGCACTGCTCCTACCAGTGGCAGGCTGAGCTTTAGGAATGAGGAGTCCAAGACATTGTGAAATGTTCCTGGGCTGTTGAGCTTGACCATTACCCTTCTCCTCCATCATCCTATACGCCATCTTCAGCAAGGGCTTTTGTTCCACCCATTTCCCTCGGGTCTGCTTTCATATAACTCCAGGCAAGCTTGTATTGGGCAAGCAATTTCTTGGGCAGAGCACTTGGAACCTGTTCCTATAGGAGAAAGGTTGGAGTACAAGCCTTCCCTGGCTGAACTTGTGCCAGGGTCTGCTTGTGCATGGGAATGGAAATTCAAACAGCAGATTTAAAAAAGGGTGATAAAGCAGGATCTGGGAAAAGGGGGAGGGAGGGGTGCAGTGAGTGGGCAGCAGCATGGGACTAGCTTTAGGAAATTGAGACAATCTAGATGGGTTTTTTTGGAAGGCCATTTTGTGTCCAGATTCTGCATCTTACCGTGAGACTAAATATTACATGTCACCATTTTTGTTATATTCTCAGCTCTGTTCTGGAATCACCAGTCTGGATACACTTTCAAAAGCCATCTGTACACAATATAGGTGATCAACATGCTTTCTGCATGGCCAAGATCTGTTCTTTATCAGCTGTAAACAGTGGAAATAAAAATGATTGAATAGCATGCACTTATCTCTGCAGCCAAAATAACAGACCACTGCCTGTGCATAACCCATATATTCACACTTTAAGGTACAAGCACAAATATGACAGATTAAAACTTTCTGTGTTCCTTGTTGCCATATGTTCAAAGAATAAAAAACCTAGACAGAATCAATCATCTTTTATATAACCCAAGTATTAATTGGAGTGAGACTAATTAGTTGCCTACCTTTGATGAGAAATGAGAAATTAGTTCTCCTCCTCCTCTCTTTTTTAAACTGAAAAATTTATTACTCAATTTTAATGACATTTTAAACATTTCCTCTTTTTTTAATCTGTGGTACAAATTTAAGAGAGATACCTCTGCAGCAAAAAAACTTTCTGCAAACTGATTCTGATATATAAGGTGAAACAAGACCATTTTTCAATAAATTCTAGGAGACGGCAGTAAGTTGAATATAATGCTCTGCTGCTGGTCATAATTAATTAATTTGGACTATGGATTTAAAATGTCAACATCTGATGTAAACTCTAATAAATTATATTATCATTAGTATCACTGACTATAATATCTCAATTCCAACCTCTCTTAAAAGTAAACAAAGTAATACACATTGCAATTTGGTGCGCTGACCCAATAAAGCCTTACTCATTATCACAAAATGAATAAATGTGTCATAAATACTTTCATTGGCTTAAAAGAGCTGTATTATATGTAAACTGTATGTTAATGGCAAAGAGCCTTTCTAGTAAAAATTTACTCAGATCTGCTGAATGGAAGAAAAAATATCTGTACTTTTCAGTGTCATTTGAGGAATGTTACTCTTTATTCTCACCGTTCATGACATTGGCAGTACTAGTAAAGCTACAATGTATTGAAATATAAAATTCTTGTTATGAAAGTATTCTTTGCTAGAAGTTGATGTAAATGAGAAAGCTTGACCTCCTGAAATTTTTTCTGTCAAGAAAATAAATGTACAACAATTTTCCCTCACATGATAGTGGATTTGAGAGGTTCTAACACAGCTAGTAGTCTGTTCGTACATCTATTTCATCAGTTAACGGATGATAAATTCAAGAGAAAATGCTTAATGAAATCTTCATGAACTACCCCAGGTCTCCTGAGGCTTACGCAGAACAATTCTAATCTTTCATAGCATGATTTAGTAAACTGCAGCAGTCCCATGCGTTTCTAGCATATACAGATTTAGTGAACAACTTAGAATTGAACCAAGGCATAAAGACATGATAGATAGAATTTTATCAGCAAAAATTTACCAGAATCCAAATGCATCCTCAGGAACTTATCTTGAATACTCATTTTCTATTGAGGAATTCTCCTTCCCATAATAATACACTCAAAGTTCATCAACCCCGTGGGACAAAGTTTTCCTTACATAACTTTATATTCACAGGGAGCAATAATAGTAGCATTTCTCAGTCTCTGTCTTTTTTACTATTTTCAATTTAAGTCTCGTGCAAAAATTATGTTTGTATACACATAATGTTTTCCTTACATAACTTTATATTCACAGGGAGCAATAATAGTAGCATTTCTCAGCAAAAATTATGTTTGTATACACATAACTTTATTTAATTGGAAAATTTTATAATGTTATATATGGGATGAAAATATTGCACTCTAAAAATACTTTCAAAATAGAACATTCTTTATGGTGTACAATTGGATCCTTATGCATATTATTTTTTATTAAGAATGAAAAATTTTGATTTATGAAGTGCATTTTTTCATAATATCTATACTGTAATTTGTGAAATACTCTAACTAGTGTATATTACTACTTAGGGAAATATGCTGAACTTTATCAAGGAATGTGGTTTCAATGGAATTCTGTGGGTCTGTGTTAGCTCTGGGCCTGGGTCTAGGCTGTTTCCACAATGTCTAAGTATCAGACAATTCATCATCAATTATCTAGCTGCTGCTTAGCCTTCCTGAAATATTTGTGAAGGCAAAGCCTTCACAACATCTATATTCACCTAGTAAAGGTCTGAATTAGTATCCTAAGGTTTTTTTTTTTTCACAAAAGAAACTAATTTTTGAGTCTATGTATGTAGTGACACAAGAAAGTAGAAATGAGCTGAAGATAAAACTGGGCAGTGGGTTTGCTTTAATTCTTCTAATGTTACTACATCATTCATGTTGGTTCCCAAAATAAGTAATTTTTTCTGTTAGACTTCCCAAATCAAAGACGATAACAGATCTTGTACGATTTGCAGAAAACTTTTGATTTACTACTACCTTACACACTCAGTAGCCAAGACAACGTTCAGCATGCAGAAACTGCATGACAGAGAGGACCCATAAATCCTCCACTTATTGGACTAAAAGTCTGTACTAAAAATTAAATATTGGTTTGCTCTGATAGGATTTTGCAGTTAGAACATACCACCACACTGAGATTGCAAGCAACAACTCTCCTGACAACCACCCTGACCATCTCTGTCGTCGGTTCCATCCTCCCCCTTCTTCTGTGTGACCCAATTTCCTTGCCTGCATTCTTCATTAAGTGCCTTTCCTAATGGGAAAAAATGGCTTTGGGGGAAAAAAAGGGAAGCCAGGGGCAGAGGTTACCCCAGCAGCAAAGATTGCTCTTGGTAGGGAAGCTGAACACACCGGTGTATATTTCCTGGTCCAACCATCAGTCTCTCTTGCCTCTCTGCTTTCATGTATCTCTTCCTGACAGCTGTTCAGTAAAGACACATCCAAATTCAATTAAAATGTAAAACATCAAAATGTTGAAAGAGGAAATGGAGGCAGTATAAGTCTCATGTGTGCTTGGAAAACCAAATGGAAAAAACAGCTTATTGATTGCTGAGAAAAAGAAAGCTTGTCACGATTAGTGATTTACTTGGAAAGAAAAGAAAAAGTCATTTTTTGATATATTCCTACAACAAAAGGCTAACATAAATTCATCACAAACAAAAGGTATTTAAAATGTACATTACATGAAGGTCCAAAAATCCACAGATTATTACATTCTCAATGATGAGATAATCAAATTTATCAAAGTTTTGTTTATTCTTGGATATAGAAGAGATACACAAACATCAAGCACTTGCCGTTTTGCTGAAATCAAAGAGGAAAATAAAAGCCTCAAATAGCACATACCATGAAATTTTCCACCTTCCTCCTCTCTTTTACAAACTATTCATTCCAATGCAAGGGCATACAGACTTACATTTCCCCCTGCAAAACACACTGCACAGTTGAAACTAACAGCAAATTCATCTTCTCCCAAGAAAAAAGGGACGTAAGAAGAATAAAGTGACTTGCTTAGTAACTGTTGAAACATTATCTTAAATGACTAGTTAAAGGACCCTTAAATGACTACTGAATGAGGAGGTCTAGACTCTGGTCCTTGCATCCACCCAGAATCCTGTCCTGCTCTGCTGGGAGTCCAGCTAGGGCACAGCTGGCTGAAAGGTGAGTCAGAGCTAGATTTATGGCTTAATTTAGATGCAATCATTTTAAGAAAGGAGAAGTAAATTCTCATAAGTATTAATCAGTCTCAGAGCTCATCAAGTGCTTTTTAAATTTTAGTTGGGAGACTGACTAAAGTGAACCAGAGGGCTGTGGTCAAGCGGAGAGATTCAGAGAAAATGTTACACCTGAGTGAGCCTGCTAATACAGGAGAAGCTTAAAGCATTACAGTTAAAAAGAAACCCAGTTTGAAAAAACTCTGATTGGTAGCAGAAATCAAGCAACTTCAATTAGACTTGCCCTTAAGGAGATGTCTGGTGCGGCAATATGGGTACAAATTGCATTGCATTGAGGAAATACAGAAACTGTCTCTTTTAGAAACACAAAAATCTACTTTGAACAAACAATAGGCCTGCTAACATACCAAGTGGAACAAATTAAAACTGTCAACATCACAGAAACTGTTTAAAATTGGTAACTGAGCATGACCCTAAAGTGTAATAGAAATTAGATGTTCTGATAATGTTCAGAAAAATGAAGGCAGAGATCGGCAGCCTGCCCTAGGAAACAGCAAAGTTGTAACATGCAGACCCCTTCAATGAAGTGTTGGCTCACCCACACAAAACACAGCTTTAGAAACGTTCATAGGTTGTACAATTATCTCCTACAGAATAATCACCCAAGGAAAAGAAGTCATTAGCACTGAGCAATCACCAGATGGGTGATTTATCTAGTCTTCTAAAAAGTCAGTCATGATGGTCATGAAAATGTCATTAAAAATGCTATGGAATCAATATATAATCTCTACTGTAATGTAATGTGTAATCAATAAGCATGTGGAGGGTCTAGTAACATACAACCCTCTTGTCTTCTTAGTGCTGCTGTCTGGTTAAAAAAAAAAGTATGTGCACATATATGCAAATTGTAGCAAAGTAAACACCTGTCCCTGGCATGTGTTTTTCAAATTCAATTGACTAATTGACTAATTTGATAAACAGATAAGAAAATTAAGACTTCCAAAGTATTTCCTGTATGCACAGCAACCAATCCCACAAGAATTTAGGAATCAAACTTTTAAGCAGTGCTTTACCTAGCCTTTAGGCATCCCAATGCAGGACAACTAGACCCACAAGAAACACTATACCAGGCACAGAGCAGCCTCAGGGGAAGAGTCCTGAAGAAAGGGTTTACACTTAGTAGGTGTCCAGTAGTACCAGGCAGCACAGTCTTCCATTTGGGATTTGCAGCCTGGAGAGTTCTTAGACACATTCCTCTCTACCCTCAAACCAATCAAACGAGTTCTCTCAAGTTACAGCTTTTTGTAGGTGGAATTGTCTAAGATAAGAATCAGCTCTCTGTAAATGCTTTCTGAGGACACAAGAGAAAAAGACAGAATCTGACAGATGCAAGTTTGGCCCAGGAGCTCCCTGTTCCCACTACAGCTACAGTGCTACCAGGTAACTGTGATGTTATATTCTAATTATTTAGCAAATGTAAATTGTGAAGATTAAAGAGAAGCTGGATGAAGGATTGAGGATCATGGGTTTGGTGTTAGGTGTTTCCATTCAGTCTAAATCCCCCATCAGACAACATGGCCTTTTCCTAATCTTTGAATGAACAGCTTTAGGATGGCCTACAAAAGCTGCTTCATTCATTCGGAGTCAAAGAAAACAAAGCATGAGGCTGCAGCACATTTAATGCTGGCCAGATAAATGTAATAATGTGGTATTATGCTGAACTGATGTGCTTGGCTGGTTTCTTGCTGACTGGACCACAATGTGCTGGAACTGCACTCTAACCTTTCAGGGGTGAAAGTTGTTCCACGGTGCTGACATTTACCCAGGCTTTGTGAGTTTCTGTCTCCTAATATAGTGACTGCTTTATGAGAGGTCTTGGCATATTCCATGGGAAAAAAAGAAAAAAAAAAAAAAAAAAAAAAAAAAAAAAAAAAAAGAAAGAGAAGATGGTTGCGTAGAAAGGACTTCAGCAAACTAGGTTACCAGGAAAAGGAAAGGAGAATGTAAGAAATCTTACATTCATATAACACATAAACTTACTATTATCCCCAGGGAGTGGCAGCTTACCAAAGCTCCATTAATTTTACAGCTGTGGCTTAAAGTAAGTGGGTTTTACTGCACAGATGAACAGTGTCTGTTCCTTGCTAGGTCTGTCCTAGTTTCACATGATTCATTTGCTACCTCCAAACTTCTGTTTGCCGGTGTTGCTGCAGATGTGTTTTCCTCTTCTTCCACTTGAATAATATCTGTTTGTTTGCAGCAATTATCTGCAGATGATAAAACCTGAAGATCTTGAGATATATTCAGAAAACTGCAAAATATACAAGGCTTTGACCAAAAGTTCCTGCAACATAATAGATAAAACTTATCACTAAAAAGCAGGCAGCAGAGCAGGCAGGCAGCTTTCACATGCACTAATAACATCACACTGTGAAAGCTGCAGAGGGGATGCTGTTGCCCTGACAGATAATTTTGTCAATAACATTGCTTTTCTGTTACCATTTTTACCCAGGTGAATAGTTATTTGATATTGTTAAAAGTATTTTCTTGGATCCAAGATTTGCAATTAAAGCAAAATGAGTGTCCATGCTATTACAATAAAATATAATGTAAAACACAAAAATATGCAAAGCAAGAGAAAGTATATTGTCTTGGCTTGTCTTGTGCTCAAGATGACTTACAGCATTTTGCTGAATAATAAGGTCCAGCAGCAATGGAAAGATTATTCAGGGTGGGATAATTCCCTAGTGGGGCAGAAAAAATGCAGCAGATCCTAGGTTGCCCTCAACCTTACAGCCAGAGTAAGGAAGGAAAAGGAAAGAAAAAGGGACTTATGCGTGACACTGGCATTACGTCTGCCACAACAGCCACTCGGGATTACTCACAGCAGCAGTTGTATTATCGTAACCTATGCCACCAGTCTGGTCTGATACACAGCTGGCCCAGGGTCATGCTACTGGCATCCAAAGTAATTTACAGCATCTGTGCACCTCCCCCAGGTCACACTGTGTGCCCCGCAGCTGCAATGAAGAGTTTGCATCATTAACTTTAGAGGCATTTAACTTATGCTTGCGTTATGACTGCTGCCTGATGGCATCCTACTACTCTCTCTTCTCAGGTTGCCATGACAAACTAAAAATCTTGATGCAACGACTAGCTAGTAAATCAGATAAGTTCCATGAGAACTGAGAGGATAGTAGCTCTGCCTCCAATATCTTAACAGATAATAATTTTCATGGCCACTTGACAGTGGCAACAGTTATGACTTCTGCATATTGCCTCATTAGCATTTCTAGGATTCAGCATTTTCCAAAGATGCAGCCATTATTTGATTCATGAGCACTGCAGCACTGCACAGAGGATACACATGGCCAAATATTCATTAGCCTGGATTTAGGAACCTGTGTATATGACCTGCATTTTGTCATTATGGGTAACGTTTAGCACATCTCTTGGCATCATGAGCATGTTTCTACTCTTATTCTGATAAGAAATCAGCTCCTTTTTCTCCCTTTTGTCTTCACCCATAACCTAAAACATTTGTTTCATGAAGTATAAATGATCATTTTAGATGTTGATGAGTTTGGGTTTCTACCTGTGCATGAGTTAAACTGCTTGATTTATGCATCTTTCTAATGAGGACATGCAGAACTAGGTACTGCCTAGACCCTAGATTTCCCCTCTAAACAGTAAATACTAAAGATCAATGTGAATTGAATTCTGGATAATCTTAATTTTTATAAAAGTACTTCAAGAATATTGGGTTTTTATTCAAAAGCTATGAAAAAGAATGGCTTATATTGCTCTTGTCAAGAGCAGCAGTATTATGTGACAATTATGTTAATAAGCATACAAAAATTTTCTTTAGAGTAGCAAGCTGCCATTATGAAAAGAACAGCATACTTGTTTGTATAAAGAATTTATTTAAGAGTTTATAGATAAAGATAACAGTTCTGTTATGTGAATCTTACATTGCATTATTGTATATTGCAGTAAGTAGACTATTATGTGAACATGACCAAGAAGGCACAGATAAGGACATTGCTGTACCTGGAAATCAAGCTCCCATACAACTAATTGTTTTGGAGTTGATTTTAAGCAGTTCCTTTTCTAAAAAATCTTGATCCTCGCACCATTTTAATTCCACATGACATAAAAGTAATCTTATTATGTTCATACATTATTAACAGTCAGTCTTGAGGTTTATGATAAAATTACAAGCCAGGGATGCTCACCTCACACCCAGTGGGACTTTCTGCAGCCCATCAGAAAGAAAAATTCAGTGTACAGCTGCTTTCAGCATCCCTTTCTCTTCAACCAGTTCAGCAGCAATCAAGAGTAGGGGTTAAATCTAATAAATTGATTTGCTTCTGTCCTGTCATGAGGGAATGATCACAAGGGAAAATGGTGGTGAGGGGCAGATTGCAGTTCTAACAAGGACAGTTCATGTAGCCAGTCTTCCCTGACTCCATGACACCTCCAAAGAAAGGGGCTCCGTAGCAGATAGTTTGCCAAATTGCTCAGGTAGTTTGCTAAGTTGCTCCAGTGGCAGCAACCAGAAGATATTCTTCTTTGAGTGCATCTGGGGAGACCACACTTGTGAATGATGTGGTTAAAGTGGACAGTTGGACAGTGGGAGTCCAGTTCTCTTGAGAAGTGTTAAATGCACTTGACTTCCCCCTGGCCCTGAAGGGCAAACTTTTCTATTTGCTGCCTTTTCTAGTTCAGGTTCTTTAGTTTTTCTGCACAACAACCACCAGATTAGAATTGAATTCATATGTTTTAAATGAACACTGAGGTATTAGCATCAGTCTAGGACTTCCAAGTCCTAGAGGTCCATGCTCCATGCTTCACCTTTATGAGATGATGCACTGGAAATTCCAGCTATTGGCAATATTACATCTCATAGATGGATATGAGGCTTTTTGTACATCTTCTGGCACCATTCAGCCATGACATTTAGCAGAAATTTTAATTTTATTGTAATAAAAAATAATTAACATTTGCATTTTTACTATTTTTGAACAGGTTTTATCCATCCTTTATCACAAACACCACTTGAAAGATAAATCATCCTGCTACTGAAATACAAAATGATTTAATGAGACACAGTACTGTAAACTCTGTCTTTTTCTCATCAGCCTTTTTCATTATCAAGGGAGTGCAATATCAAATTAGTTTAACTTCTTGACTCACAAGAGAATGCAAAGAGCTCACAAATTAAGATTTACCTGCAAGAAAGTTTCAGCACCAAGATTAAATATGAATGCCCAGTTGGCTAATAAGCAGATTTTAGCACAGGCGAAAGTCCTTGGGGACCAAACCTTGCCAGTGCCCAACAACATGTCACTTCATATGACCCCATTTGTTTTAATAATATGACAAGCCTGAGACTCAACATTTCAGCCTGATGCTACACAAAGGGCTGCATCCAGCTCAAGGTCTTTAATGATCCCCATTTCTGAATGCAAATACAACTGTACCTGTCACATACCTTTTACAGTGACAAAAGCTTCATTTTTCCTCCCCAGTAAGGGAAGAGATGCCTCATTGCTGTTGAGTTGTACACCTTTCAAAATGAGAGGGTCTCATTCTTTGATTCAAGACCTTGTCCCTAAATCCATGATCTGGAGAAAGAATTAGGTTTCACTTAATGTGGCAAGACTACATGGGACTACTGCAATAGCCTTGTAGATTTTTACAGCAGGGAGAAAAATCAGTGACCAGCCTGCACAAAAGAACTGCCAGCCACCTAGACAAAAACAAAAACCCTCTTAGACAAAAACAATACAAACAAACAAAAAAATCAGTTGACTAGCAAGTATTAAATAACTTGTAATTTAACAAATCTCAATCTATTCAGAAAGACCCTCTCTCTCTCAGCTGCTATTGAAGTTATGTCCCACATGTTAATTGAATCTCACTGTTGAAAATTAGCAAGTTCCTTCCAATTCGAATTCTGTTGCCCTCAAGGAGGGTTGCTTCCTCATAATACCTGGTGTTGAATGCTTATCCATTAGACATTTATCAAGCAACAGAAGGATGGCTGGACTATAGCACTGCGCATATTTTCACACATTGTTTTTTTTCACATGCTTTCATGCATAGTATATCATGTAACACAGAATCATCTGTCTGTAGAGGTATGTGTGCTGTAGTCCCTCTGAAAAACATATCCCTCTAGGGAAGGATACCCCTGACAAAAATTAGGATTTTTGTGGTGGATTAGTCACTGTGTAGAAGTACTCAAGTTCTCTTAATTTTTTTCATTTTGATTTCTTTAAATTTTGAAAGAAGTTAGGTTGGAGGGGATCTTCAAGTTCATCAAGTCCAATCTTTGATCAACAACCGCTCTTTAAACTAGACCATGGACTGAGTGTCATATCCAGCTATTTCTTGAAAGCTTCCAGGGATGGTGACTCCACCATTTCCCTGGACAGCCCATTACAATGCTTTATAACTCTTACCATGAAGAAATTCTTCCTGTCGTCTAACCTAAGCCTCCCTTGGTTCTGCTTGAAGCCATGTTCTCTGGAAGAAAAGGATAATCCCCAGCTTGCTACAACTTCTTTTCAGGTAGTTGTAAAGAGCAATAGATGGGACAAGTTACAATACATCTATTTTTTCCATGCTGTGTTGTCAGTTTCCTACATTCCAACATGCTAATTTATTCCAGGTCACAACCTCAAATTTTTAAGAGCCTCGGTTGTCCAGGACATTTCTTTCATGACATTTCTTATGCCTGAAATGCAATACTTTTTCCCTGCTATCCTATCCTCATAATTTTGCTTTTCTGTGAAGAATTTGAACACTGATCTATTAACATTTTTTACTCTAAAATGCACTTCTAGTAAATGATAGCTAAGGTTTTGCCATTCTGGGCTGAATAGGAACACTGCTGCATTTGTTACCAAGATTCTCCAATATGATTCATACTTCGCAAGAGTTTATGCACTCAATCAAATACTGGTAAAAAAAAAAAAAGGAATAATCATATCCCATCTGAAATTAGCCATCGAAATAAAATAGAATCTATAAAAAGGAAAATAAGAGCTATGTGAAACAGCTTCTCCTTGTCTTTCAAATTAGATGTGGGTTCATCACTGAATATTTTATTATAATTCAGAAAAGTAAAGAAAACAAAGCAGAGCTTACAAATCAGAAAATGACAGTCAAAATATGCTTTTTTTCCCCTTTTTAAACATTTTTTAAAATTTTTATTGTTTCAAAGGTGGAGCTACAACTCCTCACAAAATAACTTATGGCCCCAATGACAAGGTAATGAAAACAAAAGAGAACTTTGAAAGCAAAGTACTTCTAGAGATGAGAAAAACATATGCTAGATTCTTGAGGTTTGTTTTGTACCATAAGAGCCATAAGAGCAAGAGAGACGTAAACACCAAGGTTATGGCCACAATGAGTCACTTAATCTGTGTACAGAGAACCAGGGACACATCAGTGAAACTGGCAGGTCATGGGATCCCTTATTGTTTTGTTCTGTTAAAGATTTTGGCTCTATAAAACCAAAGCAAAAAGCTGTATGCAGCTTGACAGATGAAATCATTGCAGAGAGAATACTGATAGCTGTGCAGCTCCTGCTCTGCCTTATATGATATCCATCCCACTGCCAGTCAACCAGAAATGAACATTTAATCAGGTTATGTAGCCCAAATACAATCTTTATTTTGTGGCACCTCTGTTATTGGTATCTGAGCAGCTGGTATGGAGAAGAAAATCTTCAAACTGAAGAATTCCCAGCCAGCACCTCCTCAGATAGAAAGAAGAGAGAGTCCCACTTTTCACCATGAATAAATGTTCAGGTCACCCTATGTATTAAGTTTATCAGGTCCAGTGCTGCTCAGAGATCCTGAGAAGGGAACAGCTAGGGCTGTCTATAGCTTGATCTGTGTGACAGAACCATCAGACACTTTTACCACTAGGAAGTCTCTACTCATGAGCAAACTAAAATTTACCAACTTGGCCACATTAACATAGGTTTTGAAGATAACAGAAAGAGAGAACTTTCTCCCTCATATCCCCTTTCCTGCTCCTCCTCCATTCAACCTGTCATGAATTTAGATCACTTAAAAGAACTGCTGTCAAAGGTATTGGCAAAAGCAGTTTTAATATGATGCTGTAAAGCTGTGGTGTAACAAAGTTCCATGACAAGGTTCACTTTTTTACTGTAGAGTACAATAATTTGAACTCTGATTCAAATCTTATCAAGACAAAAATCTGAATCAAATCAAAGTAACCATACTGCAAGTTTATGCACAATATTGATTGCTACCAAAAAGCAGTCACTGGTAAAAGCTCTCTTTGTCACAAGTAGAAACCTTGAGAGGTTTCCCAACTCCAGGGGAGATCACCATCATGTAGCCATGCTGCTAATCAGGGCTAATTACCAAAGAATGCTCATTTAGGCTGTCAGTGTTATGTAAGGGTCTCCACACTGTGGGTCAAGCTTGTTACCATGTGAACCAGATTCAGTTTATGCTGCAAATGATTACTCCTGCAAGAAGGATAAGCAATCCTCCAAAGATTAGCCCAATCTCTAGGGAATGTGTGCTGGTATTATTCCCATTTCATTCCTGAAAGAGAAAAACACTACGAGGCTTGGCTGCATTTTTCTGGATGGATTACCACTTAGAGGCTCAACTTGTTTAACTGTTCAGACTAAAGACAAAGGTCCCTTTGGCCACTCCCAATGGAGTCTCCATGGAGACTCCAATCCCTGTCTCTTTAACATCAAAATACAAGATATCTGAAAGAATAAAGACAGATAGAAGCAAGCTGCCAATCCTGAAATGCCTGTGGAGCATCTTTAATTACAGTCTGAGGCCTCAGGAGGAGACTTGGGAGCACAGTTACTGTAAAGTCATTAGCCCATGGTATTTTCAATTAAAGCCTGTCAGGCCCAACGAGGTGTGCTCTGATGGAAGGGGAATTACTAGCTATGTTCTTTGGAATGAAATAGTCATATATTTTGGCATCAGATGGACATGAGGCCTGATTAGAGCCCATCAGAATGTATTGTGCAGAAAGTGATGTTTCTCAATCTTACTACTATCAGGTAAGGATAAGTTTCTGAGAAGGGAAATCATGGCTAATTAAATGGGTTACAATACAAGTGATTTGATGTCCTGATTCCAGCTGGGATAAAGTTAATTTTGTTCTTAATAGCTTCTAAAGTTCTGTGTTTTGGATTTAGTATGAGAATAATCTTGATAACACACTGATGTTTTAGTTGCTCCTAGTACTTACTCTAAATAAAGGACTTTTCAGTGTCTTGTGCCCTGCCAGTGAGCAGGTCTACAAGAAGCTGGCAGGGAGTGTAGCTAGGAAAGCTAACCTGAACTGGACAAAGGGATATTCCACACCTGGGAACGTCATGCTCAGCCTATAAACTGGAGGCAGTTGGCTGGGGGTTGCTGATTGTTGCCCAGGAACGGTCTGGACATTGGTCAGCATGCAGTAATTGTATTGGGCACCACTTGTTTCTCTTGAATTTTATTCCCCTCTCTTTATCTCACCCCTTTCATTACAATTATTATTAGTAATAGTGGTATTTATTATTTTTAATTATTAAACTGTTATGATCTCAACTCCCAATGTTTGCCTTTTCTTTCCCTTTCTCCTCCCCACCAGGGTGAAGAGCTGGGGGAAGTGAGCAATCAGCTCCATGGTGCTTAGTTGCCAGTTGTGCTAAACCATGACACTTAATGATGTAGAAGACCGAGTGGTCTGTAAGAGATATTCTCTGATTTGCAGCAGGACACTTCAGACAGTCACAAAATGATGGGACACGGACTTACTTCATATGAGTAAGCCTGAAGAAATAAGATTCATAAGAATTTAACTGCCTTTCTAATAGGAGAGCTGTGCATGTAAAACATGATCATGTCTAAAGAGAACACAAAAGCAGATTTAAAACCTCACAACAAAGTGAAACAGGTTAGCATGTCATGCTTAGAGGAAAAGAGGCATCTGAGAAAAATTGGAATCCAAATGCCAGACTGCAGCAGCAGGGGATATGCACCAAGATAAGCA